TTTGTTACAAAATATATATGATGTACAAGTAAATAGATTTTTGCATTTTATACCATTTGTGTTTGTGTGTTTGCGGAGACTGTAAAAAATAAAATATGCTGACGGTTTTTACTTAGACTCTCTGTCTCGTCATACAGTGCTCATTATGTTAAAGTAACGAAATCCCACAAAGAAAACAATACATACAGATCGGATTATAAACACAGATGTATGAGTTTTTCATGTGCTCGATTAGCTGAAAATAAAAATGACTTTTTTTTTCTTTAACGTCTTTCCAGAAATGACATACAACATACTATAATAGAATATTTCATCCATATCATCCACCTTGCCAAGCCGCGATGCACTCCTGTTCTCTATGTGCAAAAGAACACTGCCTTTTCATCATTATAGATTCTGGCAGGTAGCAATCAAACAGTCCTCTGGGACTCAGGTTTTAAAAGATTTTTACAAAGTAATGTCAATTCCTGACTGCACTGGATCGTCCTTCAGGCTGTCCCTATACTTTGCTGAATTCATTTTACTCTCTACTTTTCAAGCCTTCCAGTGCCTGCTCTTAAGAAGTATTCCCACATCATGATGCTGCCACCACCATGCATCACAGTGGAGACAGTGGGTTTGTGATTATCACCACTGTTTAGCATCCACCAAACATAGCCTCTAGTCTTATGGCTAAAAAGCTCAATTTTAGTTGTATTAGATCAAAGAACCTTCTTCAAGTTGACTTCAGAGTCTCTCACATGCCTGCTGGTAAACTACAGTCACAATTTAATATAAGATTTTTTCTTTTTTGTGCGAGATATCTGAATAAAATCAGCTTTCTTGGAGAATTGAAGTCTAACATCATTCATATAACATGAAAACAAAACTTTATGGCAAACTATGGCAAGTATGTAACATGAAGATATATAGCAAACAGCATTGCTTGTTCTTTTTTATGTACTCAGATCAATGTGGCTAATTCGTGTTAAATGAATCACCTGCAAACTGAATCATCAGCAGCACAATCTGAATACAAAAACTAGGTTTAAACATTTGACATCCCGTCCTGCCATGCAGCGACCACCTGTCAGCCCTGTTTGGATGTTAAAAATGCATATAAAAGAACCTCATCACACTCATTCTTCTCTCATAGACAGTGAATCAGCGTATTTGAACTTTTGACAGAGATTAGATCGCTTAACTTGCCAGACAGGTGTGTGACGAAGAAGAAGTCAATAAAAATGTCTTTCAGCTGTGTGTCATCGTCAGTCTGAAGGTGTTCAGTAAGGGATTATGCTCATCTGAGAAGAACTTTTTCAAACACTAGAAGACAGCAGGAGGTAAATAAATTATTTTCTTTCATCTTATATAAATGGTTATTGTTCTGTATTATACTTTCAGGTACATTAAAACTATTTTACATTTGCTCCTGTTTACAAATTGGATGAAAAGCAGTTGGGTGTTTACTGAAGGTAAAGTAATCACTAGAACATGTTGAATTTCTATCTTCTTGTAATTACTAGAGATGGTTCCTCTTGAGGAAATTGAACAAGAAAAACAAAAATGCAATTCAGTTAAAAAAATAAAAGATGCAGAAACAAAACATTATTCTGTGAATCTTGAGAAGAAGTTTGTTATCAAAATCTCAAAGAGGCTGTAGAACTAACCAGCTGTTGTTCTTACTTTGCTAAAATAATAATAAAACAATACTCAAATTTAAAATTAGAATGCAGAGTATAAAAGGCCCAGGCTTCAACTGAACAAGAATTTACATTTCAAAATGGTCTTTTCAAAATTCCCAGCAAAATGCAATCCTGTTTTCATTAAATAGCTATTTAGAAAAAGGATTTTCAAAGTCTTAGACTGTTTTGCCGTAACCCCCTCTTAGTTTACTCACTTGCCAATACCTTAATGCCTACGAGATCATGATTAAGTCATTTGAATCCACTGACACTCGACAACTGAGCAGAGATGCACTGCAGACTACATAGAAAGGTCTGTCCTCAAGTATTAATCGGTTTCTGGCACTGGTGAAAAATAGTAAAATTCTCCTAAACTACTGTATTGCTGACCCTTTATTTTTATTTTTATTTTTATTTAACCAAATACCCCTTTTAGGTTTACTTTAATGATGTCCTTTTGATAACGAATGCAGTAGCTGATGTAACAGTTATTTCAGCAATTTCCCTGAGGTTCATACCAAAAGGATCAATAAAGTTGTATCTATCTATCTAAAGTTGTTGTATCTAATATTTTTTCAGTTCCATTCATTGAACCTCCTTTCAAACTGTTCGCAGCATCCCTGTAGACTCTCACCTTCCACTTTGAAAACCTGATCTAAAGCTAAAATTTCAAAATATCTCTTGTCACTAAGTAGAAGCAGAACTTTCACCTACTGCTGTAGAAGTCATTCACAAAACCAAAACCCTACCATGAACTGTTTCTCCTACAGATTATGTTCATACAGACCAAGAAATAACAAAAACAGCAAACAGCAGTTTACAAAGCAACTTGAATTAAACAGTGTGATATTATATGAAAAAAAAAATAGGTTGACAGACATAATAATGAAATGAGTACAACACATAAAACAGGTAACAATGTGTGTACAGTAGCAAGAAATGTTTTTAGAGTTTGGGACACCACAGAAAACCAAACTGTCGAATCTGATTGATTTTAAAAAAGGCAAATATATAAAATGAGGTATTCTTTAGGTTTAGGTTTCTTTGCTGGCAACGTGTCTACTGAAGGCGCTTTCACAGAAGCCCAAGTAACAGAACAGATTAAACCGACCTGAGTTTGTTTTAATCAACTAGTTTGTCCATCTATTTGCTTCGGTACATGCGTATGAATTTAAGGTTATTTGTATTTATTCCACCTACCCCTGTGCTGTGTGTGTTCTGCATTTAGGTTTCACTTTATAATTGCACATAACACAAAGGGTAGAAGTTTAATAGGTACTTTTTACATTACACAACAGTTACTGTACTGTGCTAGAGAATGCTGTTGGTTGACTCATAAAAAAAATCCCCCAAAAGCAAACAAGAATGTCTTCCTGTTTAAGAGAGCTTTTTCTAATGCCAAACAGTAGACATTCACAGAGGTTATCTCATTAACACGCCCACATGCCAGTCAAGCACATGTTTTCATGACATCAATCAGGACTACAGTGCACTTTTTAACTGTACGCTTCCTGGTAGCATTTCAAACAAAGATTGTGATCCGGCACTTCCTTAAGCAACACACTGAGGTTTTCATTTGTAATATGTGCATGATCTTAAAGATTAGTATCATGCAACTAGTACACGTGCAATATGTCAGCTTAAACAAGTCTCTTAGTTGCTTTAATAATGATTTAATCAAGAAAAAACATTGTGTTTTGTATTTTCTCTCTAGTCAGGATGACATTACCAAAGACAATAGGACATGTGATTGTTCTTCTGGTTATCTGCACCAGTCTGGAGAATCAGGGACACGCACAGAGTCTGAATGTCTTTTCTCAGGTAAGAATAAGCGCTAATACTTAACAACAGCAGAGGTTGAAGTTCTACACCATGAGATGCTGAAACTGCTGTGTGAGGCTGTATGAAATACCTGATCAGTTGTGTAATTTTCTAGTTTATAACTGGTATTTAGTTACAGAATCTGATGATTCTTTCAGGAAGCATCAAGTTCAAAAACATCCTCCATTCATGTCAGAGAAAAACGAGAAAGTGAGTGACACTATATTAACATTAACAGAATTTATCACAGCAAAGAATATTGACTTTTGGCGTCTGAATCTGCCTTATTCTTGCCACTGAAGTATAAAGTATAAGATCAACAATGACAGAACATCTGCTTATGTCTGTTTCAACTCCAGCTTCAAATTCTATTGATTATGAGATCCAGGCTGCTGTGGGGGTTTCAGACCTGGAGAGTCTCCAAGCACTTCTAAACACACTCACATTTCCTTTACTGTTCACCAACTCAACTGAAGTCGACAGCATGGGCACCACAACAGGTACAGTATACTTTCACTTTGTTGCTCTATTTCTTATCAAAAGTTCAAATCCAAAAGGAAAAACCAACATAAAGTGTCTTCGTAAGGTGTTGGACTAGTCGGTGCCACAACAACAGCTTCTAACACAAACAAGATGGCGGAACATACCAACGCAACACTCTCCTTTCTTAGTTGCAAATTTCAGTTTTTGTTGCGTGAATCCTACCCACAGTTGATACGATCCTTTGATCGTAGGTCTACAGTGCAATCAGGCCATTTCGAGTGAATTTGTGCACTCACACAATAAACCAGAGGACATGGCTAGGGCTCTCCGTGGATTGTTATCGGCCCCAGCAAGCGTTGAAGACATAAGTGGCACAGAAAGTAGAGGCTAGGATGCAGGTTACTTGCAAGGCGTAGGAAATGATTCTACAAACCGCCATTACCAAGAATCTTTCTCACCAACGCCAGATCCATCATCAACAAAATGGATGAACTAAAACTACAAATCACCACCAACAAGCTCATACAGGACTGTAGTATTCTGCTTGTAATGGAAATTTGGTTTCACCCACTCATTCCCAGTGTTTCCATGGAGGTAACTAAAGGTAAGGTAAGGTTACTAAAAGAATATGCAGATCAACTTTCTGTAGTCTTCACTGAAATCTTCCAACCCTGCCCGAAGTCTTCAGCAGTCATCCCACTGCCAAAAAAGTCAGTGATTATCATCTATCAACTCTCATCTGCTGGCCCACACACAGGTCGTTATGAAATGCTTTTCATGACTTTTATTAAAAGCCTGCCCCCCAACTACCTTCAACCCAGGACAGGAGAGCCCACCAGAGGATCATCAACACAGTCCAGAAGATCATCAGCTGTTCACTTCCTTCTTTACAGGACATATTCAACTCTTGCTGCCCCAGTGGCGCAGCAAAAAGACTAATCCCATCGTGGACACCATGTCTTGGACCCACTACCCTCAGGTAGATGCTCCAGGTCCATCAAATAACAGAAAAACAGACCTAAAAACAGCTTCTACCCCAGAACCATAAGAGAACAGAACTTTGTCAAACACTCACATTAACTGTCTGGACCTACTACATATCTATGCACTTTATATTATTTATTATGTACTAAGATATTGCGTATTATAATCCATTCTACATCCATTAGCATTGATTCTCCAGGAGTCTGTTTCACAAAGCAGGTTTAGTGAAAACTCTGAGTCTGTTAACCCTCTCCATGACTGTACTGAAGGGATGAACACCATTTTTTCACCAAGTTTTTTTTCCTCAAGTTTTTTTTTCCTCATTTAGTGTCGAGATCTTGTGATTGTAAAGGCCGCAGCAGATGATTCACACCACTTTTAAACTTATCAGATCATTCAGTGACTCCTTGTGCCCTATTAATGGTCACATTATCATCAGGATCAGTCCCTGGAGGATAGAAATTCTTCACCGTAGGTTAAAGGTCATCACTCAGAACAACTTTGGATTGACTTGTAGTCAACCTTCCCTCTGATGGCACCAAAGGGGATCCAAAACATGCAAGTAAAATGAACTCCTAATTAAAACGGAGCCACCAAATATCCTCAGTGTTGAGGCCAAGTGTTCATGATTTTCCTTGAATTGGTCACCCATCTGTATATTTACTCTGTCATTCATCCTTGGTGTTGTGTGCCTCTGTTTTGTCCCATAGTGTGCTCAGTACATACGACTGGATACCAATGCACATGTGAGGACAGCTTTGCTTGGTCGCTGAACAGCTGCATTAACCACGAGGCCTGTGATGCCATCATTGGTGACACGTGCGGATGCATTAATGGGCTCCCAGCAGACGGCCAGTACTGCCAGTCAAACATCACAGAGTGTAAGTCCAGTTACACAAGTGCTGTACTTCACATAGTTGCACCGTATGTTTACTCGAGTATTTTAATTTCATGCTGCTTCATACTTTTAGTCTACGATAGTCATCAGACACATATAGTAACTTGGCACTTTGGAAAAGAATATTTAAAAAGTCTCCAATGTTATCTTCAAATACAAGGCATTGCCATACAGTAAATAAAGCCACTAAACAGTCTATACAATGATTACGATGACCTCCACTACCACAACAATAAAATGCACCTTACATTTTAATGCATCACTACTAACAAAGCAACAATATAATAAACACATTTGATCAGCTTTTTGTTTTGAATACAACATTTAAAACAGTTTAAATAGTTTTATATATAAATATATACACTTGTCTACGTAGTGAGGGCTTTTCATATTATTGTGAAAGTCCAAATTATCAGCCGCAAAGTGCATTTAGTTAATTTTAAGTGCTGAACTTTTTTCAGAAAGTCAACAGATAACATAAATGTTGATTGTATATTTGTCAGTGATGATTTTAAGTGAAGAACATTTGTGTGTACATCCACAGGTCATTTGGATTTTAGGGCAGCTGCATGTTCTTTCCAGTAGATGGTGTTGTTTATGCATCAAATCTACAACCTAAATGCTCTGTTTCTACCTATTCTGTCATACTGAGAAAATACCTCACAGAATTATAGTAGAAGGAAACACCTGTGGCAGTAAAATAAATACTTCCTCGTGTTTCCTTTACATGACGTTAATCAGATAGCAGGTTTGACTACCAGCATGAATAAAAGTACCTGTCTCACAAAGCCCAAACAAAAAATAAGATCAGAAGAGATTATAATAGTTCCTGTTCATCCTCTAAAAGCTTGCTTTGAGGAGAAAAAAATACTTTGGCTTTGAATGTATAAAGTAAAAGAGACTCTTTGGTTTTAGTGAATAAGGAGACACACACACACACACACACACACACACACACATACATACACAAAGGCTCAATCTGGTTTCCTGGAAAAACATCGGGTGTAGAGTATCTGCTGTGGCAGGGGATGAGTAGCAAACAGCAGGTAATCCTCAAGACAGTACAAGATTGCAAAAGACAGTTTCAAGGAAAGAGGAAAAGATGAGACAGCTTACACAAAGACTTAATTGGGGAAACAAGACATGAGTGAAACTAGTGAGGGCAATTATGAAAGGACTGAAACAAACAAAGGGAGAAAGTAAAACAACTTAAGATGCAGGAAGACAGAATTCCAAAACAATAACTTTGACACCTTAAAGATCATGACTGTCTCTTTCTTCTGTGGAAATGTTCTGTCCTCGAGCAGAGGGGCACCTGTTTCAGATTGTTGGAAGTCCACGAGATGAAGGTTCTTTGGTCTGATGACAACAAAATTTAGGCCCTTTCCATTCAGCTAGATGCTTTGCTTGGTAGACACCAAACACTGCACATTATCACAAAGGCACTATCCCTACCGTGAAGCATGGTGGTGGCAGCATCATGATGTAGGGAAGCTTCTGGGCAGCAGGCTTGGTCAAATTTTATGTTTTTATGTACGTTTTGTTTTGCATGTTGATGACAGACTTCTGTGATGGCTTCTCACGTAATCTCCATATCGCAGACAGTGATGTAGTTATTGATCTCTTATGTGCCATCACATTTTCTATCCAGGGAAACTCAAGGAAATTTGTCTTTACCCCAAAATGTCACCCTTTCTTTAGAAGTTCCAGGAATAGATTTCACCACAAAAGTTCAGCTTATTTATT